CATCACAGGTTTGAATGAGATAAATGAAGAAGACAATGTACTAAAAGCAGGATTTAAGATTGAGCCTTGATACAACTTAATGTTTAGCAGTCAAATAACAAAAGAGCCTCCAGTACAGTTATTGAGAAGCAGTGATTATAAATACTTTACTTCTCAGGACTCAGAAAAGAGAACATTACAAGTAATAATAAAAAGTAAAGCTTGATGACAATAGAGATTGAACAGTGGATGTAGTGATGTGGAAATGGAAAGCATTTTAAGTGGACTCTTTGACTTGGAATTCAAATTAAATGCTTTTGGAAAAATAATGTTAGATGTTTCTGGGCAACATAGAGGATAAAGACAATGCAAAAATAGCTCTGCCACTCAAAATTCCTAGAAATTATAGGTTAAAGGCTGGCAGGTGGTGTGGTGGTTGGGGCATTGGACTCACACATGGCTACCTGCAGTTCAAGTCCTAGATGTGGTGGCTTGCTTTCTCACTTTCCCAGTCTCTCTCTCTCTCTGGTCAAAATAAAAAAAATAATAATGAATAAAATGAAATTAAGTAATTAAAAAAATTAATATTTACCTGAAATCAAAATAAGGCATAATGAAACAAGGGTAATATTTTCTTTTTCAAATGTAGTCATCCAAATGGAAAAACTCAATAGAAGGCTAGAAGTAAACTGGATTCAATGAAAATAAGATTTATTGAATTATAAGATCTGAAAAAATTAGTCAGAATGTAACATGGAACATGAAAGTATAGGAAATGCAAAAGAAGTTAGGAAACATGACGAAATTACTGGGAAATTTCTCTTTTTTATGACTTGACACAAGTTTACAGAGCATTTTATCCAACAAGTACAGAATACACATTTTTCAGTTGCACGTGAATAAGAAGTTTCAACGTACATAGAAAAGAAGTTTCTAAAGAAGAGACTAGAAGAAGTGACAAGAAAAAGTATTTGAGAAATAATTGTTCAAACACTTCTAGAATTGTAGAAAGACAAGGGTACTCATGTTTAGAAATCATATCAAGGCCCCAGAAAAAGACAAAGAAAAAAAAATTAGACACGCAATGGAAAAATTGAAAATAATAATAAAACCTCAAAGTTGGTGAAATTGGCATGACAGAGAAAGAGTAGACAGATGATCTACGAAGGATCCACTTCTAGATTGCAGTACAGTCTCGCCACCTACAGTCCCAGAAGAAGAGCTATCAGAAGGTGGGAGGTGGCACCACAGTAAAACGTGACGGTCTGTAAGACTGACCCCTATGGGGAGTCAAGGCTCTATTGTGGGTCCTGTTTCTGTCTCTCTATCTCTCCCTCAGTTTCTCTCACTGATGGAAAAAAATAATAAATTAATTTTACAAATGGAATATCAGAATTAAAATAATGACATTTCCAGATAAACAAAGACCAAGAAAGTTTTATACCTACAGACTTTCCTGAAAAAAGCAACTACAGAATATTCTTTGGCAAGAAGAAAATGAGACTCTGAGGGAGGAGGAAAAATAAATAGGTCAATCAAAGGCAAAGGAATAATAAAGCATATTGGAATATTTGATAAATATCAACTGATTATATGACTAATGTCAAGGTAAGACTAGAGTGCAAAATAAAAGTAAAAGAAAATGGAAAAGGGAAGACCAATGAGAGGTCTGGAAGGCCTGATGGAATCCTCTTCCCAGTGAGACCACGGGCCAACTTCCTGGGAAACTGAAGTTTCAATAGAGATAGCCCGCTCATTTTCTTGGTATGAGCTTTTACATAGCTTTTAGTATTGTTATCATTTCCTTACATTGAATTGTCTGCGTCTATTATTCGTTTTCCAGTTACTAATGTTGGCTTCCTTTTTTATTTTTGGTTTTGCTTTATAAAAAGAACTTAGTAAAAAGCACTCATAAGGCTTTGAAACGTTTCCTTACAGATTACTTTTCAAAGAGGTTTAAAATAAATATCTACTTTAAATAGAGAAATTAGCTAGAAATGAAGACATCAGAGCTCTAATAATAAAGCAGAAATAAGATTTAATTTACATAGTTTTTCAGGACCATATATACATTATCTGTATCTGTGACTCTTCCCCCACCCCTTAATTTCCAGAGGGTGTATGCACTCACCAGAGAAAGACAGAGAGAAGAGGGAAAAAGACAACCCCTTCTCAAATAACCCCCCTCCACCACCACCACCATGGGGCCTGGTCATGCTATAATCCCATCTCCTACATTTCTTCATCCTGTTGGGATTTGGGGCTCACACAGTAACTGGCATGTCCTTCAAGCCACCAAGGCCGAGATTCAAACTACAGTTAGCCATGCTGACCCACCTCCTTTAATTACCAGGCTCCAGACCAGTTTCTATAAATCTTGACTGCTACCTTGGTAACACTGAACTTCACATTTGTGGTTTCTGCTTACAAATCTAAAATTGCAGAATATTCTTAAAATTTTGTTTACATAAATAACTAAATGCAGGGACCAGCAGGTGGTATAGTGATTAAAGCATTGGATTCCCACATGGCCAATTGCAGTTCTAGTCCTGGACCTAGTGACTTGATACCATGTTGGGTGTGGGTACGTGTTTGCTCAAAATCCCAGGAGGAGAATAGAGGAGAAGGGACTGTGGTGTGGCCATCCCCCCTTGGAGGTTATCTCTCACATTCCCTCTCATTGTTTCTGTCTCTCTCCAGCAAATGCTTGCACCCTATGGCAAAAACCTTAAAAAAAATAGCTAAGTGCAAGTTTATCTAGTAATGTAATATATCAATAAACAACCATCCATAGAAACATCAAATAATTATCAAGACTAGACTAAATAATTAAAATCTGTCTGCTATGTATGCACAGTGGTATAATGTGTTTGTTATTACGGTTTCTTTGAATGTTAACTATGTCCCAATGTCAGGTCCCTGAATGAGGCTTGAAAGTCTGTGTGCTCTGTAGCCATGTCTGCCACTCATCTTCCTGACATTCCTTAGATAAGTGACCTGAAGCACACTTTTCAAAACAAATCATATAAGTGGCCCAAAATTTCACTTACAAATAACAGTCATGATAATAAAACATCATTGTCTCAAGAGTTAATAAATATTTTCAGCAAAGGAGAAATGAATAGAACATTTCATGGAGACTTTGGGATGTTACTTTGGATCAGTAACAGTCCATTTGGAACAAACAATATGTGTAAACATAAAGCAGGTTAGCCACTTTGACATTGGACACCTGGACTTCACATTCATCATCTTGCCCTTTGAAATATGTATAATTAATGTGTGTCTCCCTTGATTGCTGATTCAATACATCTTATTTGGATATTTCCATACTTATTAATGTTACTATTTAAAATGTCAAATGGTGTGTCTTTTTCAATATGATATTGCTTACCCAAATGAAATGCCTGACTCAGAAAATATTAGTTTATTTCATTTCAGCTTCCATTTAATTTTCCGAATGTATGTGAGGCTATAAACCACTTAATAGAATTTTAGCATAAATATCCTCTATCATTTGGGTTCATAGTGCTTAAATGCCAATATACTCTGCTGGAAATAAAATTTTACTTGGTATCTAGAACCAATCCATAATATAATGCTTTTCAACTAATTGGATCAGTACCGTCAATTAAATGGAATATTCCTTCCAAAGACAAATCTGTTCAAATGTAATTGTGGTTGAGTCCATCATTAGCATTCTCAGGACTGCCGGTGGTGACACCAGCATAATTTCAGTTAGAGCAATCAACATACCCTTAGTAGATACAATTTTTGTAAGCACTTTTCCTCTTTCTGAAAGAGTAATAATAGCATGGTAGTAACAGAACTTTGACTATGCTCTCATTTTGAAGTTAGATGTAAGTAATCTATCAGAGTTCTTTTTAAGTAATTGGAAAAGAAGAGGAATATGGAATTAAGATTCTCATTCCACTGGGAATTTAGAGACAAATTAAAACGTTAGATATAATTAAATCATAGAGTTGGAAGGGACTCGAGAGGTCATCTATCTAGTCAAATCACTTTCATCTGAGAAGGAACAGACTTAAATTACCCTTCCTTGATTACTATCTGAACTCTTTTACAGACATCCTCAATTAGTTTAGCAACTCAAAGCAATGTTTAACAATTTCCATCACTGGTGAAGTCATCTTTCTGAATATCTCAAGTTACAGTTTTGTTTTGCGATTAATTTACATGAAGAAAGACACATTTGAAATCTTTCCATAAGAAATTCAGAAGCGGTCAAATCAAGGTTTCTCTGGTCTCAAATGAAGAATATCCCTGGGACGAGCAGTTGGCACAATGGTTATGTCACTGGACTCTCATGTAGGCAATCGCGGTTTGAGTCCTGGACCTGGTGGCTTAAACTCACGCCAGGTGCGTGTGCTTATGTGCCCAAGATCCCGAGAGGAGAATGGAGGAGAAGGGATTGTAGTGTGACCATCTCCCCTGGGGGGTGACTTCTCACTTTGTCTCTCTGTCTCTCTGCTTCTGGTGAGCACACACACCCTGCAGCAAAAACCTCTCCAAAAAAAAAGAAAGAAAACAAAAGAAAGAAAGAAAAAAAAAAGAATATCCCTGTGCCATTAACTGGTTTTTGCTTGTTATTTTTTCAGGGGTTCTTTCAAGAATTTTAGTATTTTTATGATTTCTCAATGAAATCTACAAGTCTATGTCCCACATACTTTTACTTTTTATAAACCCAAATTGGAAAAAAGGCTCTTAAAAATGTCTTTCAGTGGAGTGAAAACAGTAAGATTCCTTACATTCCTGTCATAGCTTAGCATGTGTGTGTGTATGTATGTGTGTGTATGTGAATGTATGTATAAGCTCTAAAATTCTACAACTATATATTGTCTATACGTTTTTAGTTATTGTTCACAATTAATTCAAAAATTTGTTCTCCTCTTCACACAACTAACTTACCATTTTACCTTGGAAATTTGAGGATTTTATTTATGAAAGTTAATTTTTATATAAGAAATATTAAAATCATATATTTGGAGAATCGAACTCACCCTAGGAGAGAAGGTGGCATCATTGATAGAATGCATGTGACCATAAAGTGACTGCTCACATTTATTCTAGAAAGACAAAACAGAAATAAAATAATTTGATACATGAAAAGAACTTGAAAGGCAATTAATTGTATTTGCTTTAAAGTAATTTTTAGTTCAATAATACAATTCATACATTCTCACAATAGATAATATTAGCTTTTGCTGTGAGCTGCCATACAGAATGAGATAAGGCTAAACTACTGGTCTTGCTGTTTCATCACCTAGCAAGTAGTAAACTCTCACCGAGTGCTATTTCTTTTCTTTTCTTTTCTTTTTTTTTTTTTTTGAAAAGGTTTTTGCTATAGGGTGTGTGCACTCGTCAGAAAGACAGAGACAGACAGAGAGATAGAAAGCAAGAAATCACTCCCCCTCTCTGGGCGGGGGATAGCCACACCTCAATCCCTTTCTCCTCCATTCTCTTCTCAAGATCTTGGACATGCACACACAGGCACCCAGTGTGAGTTTAAACCACCAGGTCCAGGACTCACCCGTGGTTGGCCATATGGGAGTCCAGCAACATAGCCATTATGCCAACCACTGGTCCTCTATTTCACCATTAGCATAGCTTTTCAAGTGCTACAGCTAAGGACTGAATTCTTTATGGAAAGTTCTTGCTTTCAGCAGAGCATTTCCATCACTAATGAGGGTGAGCATGAGTATTTTTTTTTCTTTCTTTCTTGCTCTTTCTCTCTCTCCTTCCTTCCTTCCTTCCTCTTCCTTCCTTTCTTCCTTCCTTCCTCTTCCTTCCTTTCTTCCTTCCTTCCTCTTCCTTCCTTTCTTCCTTCCTTCCTCTTCCTTCCTTTCTTTTTATTTTTTAAAGGTTTTTGCCATAGGGTGCATGTGCTCACTGGAGAGAGACAGAGACAGAGCCAGAAAGAAGGAAAGTGAGACAACCTCTCCCCTTCTCAGGGGATGGCCACACCACAATCCCTTCTCCTCCATTCTTGTCTTGAGATTTTGGGCATGCACGTACCCATGCCCAACATGATTTTCAAGCCACCGTGTTCAGACGTCAAACCATGGTCAGTCATGTGGTAATCCAGAGCCTTAACCATGCCACCTGATGACCTCATATACAATGGTATTTTAAAATAGAGAATAAGCATTCTTTTGTGAAAATTATACTTCTCATCTATTCATTCAGTTTATCTTTTAAACAAAAGCTTAAATTAAAATTAACTATAAAAAGTCTAAGCTTTGGTTTAAATGTTTCCAGGAGTCTTTAACACAGTACATAGAATCTTTCATTTTGACACCAATATTTGAAGGACTTCTTCACTAACTTAGGGAAAAAAAATGTTGTAGAAGAACCAGGGACAGCTTTATCATTTGAAGAATTTTGCTATGGGTCTTGATACTCAGATTTCATCCAACAGCTTTATTCATCAACAAATATTGGGTTGTCAAAAAAGTAATGATATTTACATAAATGTCATGACTTTTCTGCAGCTCAATACCTTGAGTGAATAATAGATGTCAGGTATAATTCTACATGTTAGGTACATGTCAATACATAAAGAACTGTATCCTCGTAGATCTTATCTTATACCCTAGTGGTGGGGAGGTAGACATCTTGTTAAAATGGCAGAGGTAAAAAAAAAATCAGGCAATTAGAAGAAATTAGGAAATGAGATGGTTGAGGAAAAATCACATTATCAAGTAGAGTGACTGAGTCTGGTTTCCCTAAGGAACTAAGATTTGAGTAAAGACTGAAGGTAATAAGGGAGTGAGCCAGGCAGACATCTGGAGAAAAAATGTTCTAGATAGAAAGAAAAGCTTGAGCAAAGGTCTCCACTTGGGAGTTTCTATGGTATGTTCCAGAACAACAAGGCAACTAGTGTGGCTGGAGAGAAGTCAGCCAGGGCAAGAGTAGATTTACTCAAAAGTCTTCATCTTCTCTCCCCGATTACCTTGAAACTTTAAGGTTGAGAGAGAGATTGCAGGACAACAAAATGAGATATTAAAAATAGAGCATCATTATAATCTTACTCTCTATTATCATTGGTCATTTAGAAGATATTTCTGAATTAAGCAAAGAAAGAAGGGCTTTGTAACTAAGCTGCATTTACTCTTCACTATTGCCATTGTATACAGCAAGTTAAATTTCAAAGATCTATTTACAGAATTTGTGCATGGTACTAATCTTTGTTCACAGCATACACAATTTTCCGACATTAATTTAAATTTCACAAAAATACACTAGAACACTTTGGCATTCTCTTATGTCCACACCTCCCTTCCATAATAACTCTATTATTCCGGTTCAGTATCTCAATACTGTAATAACTTTAAACCAATTATTCTGAGAACTTCTAATCATCCCAATTCCCAAAGTAGAAATAACTTACTAAACCAAAAAAGCAGAGTATAAGGTATTATAATTAGGTTTTTTTTTTTAAATATCGCCTTCAGAACTTTTATGATTAATTTTCTTTGAGAACCAACATACAATGAAATAATATACTTGTATAGTGACTGTTAATATTTTTACAAGGATTAAAAACGAGCATGTTTGTCTTAAAATATTTTTGGCATTAATAAAAGTTTTACATTTGGTCTACTTCTAACTTGAGAATTACTAAACTGTTTGATTAATTGGTAAGGAAAATGTAGTTTTCTGATTCAATCCTGAACGCCAAATTTTAATTCAAAGTGGAATCTCTAAGGCACTCTTGAAAAGCCCTGGAAATAGAGGGTTATAATGGAAATGCTGACAGACCACATTTGTGCTGTTATAACAAAACCTGACTTGAAGATAAATGTTTCATGAATTAAGAAAAGTTAAAAAAGCTTTTCTCTCCAGCTTTGTTCCCCAGATAAAAGTGAATCTACTCTTTTTGTGATACAGGGAATATATAGGATACTAATATTCTACTCTGCAAACAGCCTTAATCAAAAGCAATACCCAGACCAGGACATTAAAATTTGGAATATCTTCTTTGATGAATTCTTGTCAGAATTGTTTTCTTTCAAAGGATTGTGAAAAGGAAAATGAGAGAAAACTTTTTTAAAAATCATCATGTGACCGCATATGCATTGCTCTATATTTGATTCTCTCTAAGAAGTTGTTTCTGATAATGTTTTCTATCACAGGTCCTGAGAGTAGACATTCCTGGCACTCAGTTGCTGGATCTGCCACCTACTAGAGCTGTGTGACCTTACGTAAACTGAAAGTTGCCTACTGTGTAATGAGGTAATGGTATTTAACCTAAAACTTTATTAGGAAAATTAATAGAGATGATTCACGTGAGATATTGGTGTGCTGCTTGCACAAAGTAAGAGCTTAACAAATACTAGTTATTTATTTTTTTAAAAAATATTTACTGAGAGAGAAAGAGAATCTCTTTCGACAGGATTCTCTCCCCATGATCTTCTCCCCAGCCCTGCAGCCAGCCAGCATGGCAGATTCCCCTGGCTTGTCCAGGTAGCCCTGGGAGGTGAACCCTGTACCTTCCCATATGCCTTCCAGCCCCATGTAGCAATGCTCTCATGCCTGTACCACCGCAGCTGGACCAACAAGTAATACCTGTGAATAGAGGTGATACTAGAGACATAGAGCATCAAAGTGCCAATGATTTCCAAATCAAACTCTCTACGCTTATCTCTTCACCAAGATCCAAATCTGAATGTCTATCTGCCTTATGTTATGCTGTCTACTAACCACAGCAGTTGGGTTCTTAGACTTCCTAGCCTGGTTGCATTCACCCAGAGGAAAGTGTGTGAAGTACATGAATGAGCAAAAATATAGAGAGGATGGACAAATGATCGCATCTGCTCCCTTCCTGTTCAGCTGTAACTTTGTCAGTGGTCCCATCCTCTAATTCTACATCTGAGTCTTTGCCCATGGTTACAGTACACAGCACCTCCCAGTAATGTCCTACTTCCCCCACCCTTTGAAACTTAGAGGTAGTGTTGACTTTCCACTGTTGCAAGTCCTTGAGAGCTGTGTTGGCTCCTATACCCCTGTCTGCACTTATCTAAACATTAAACTCAAATTGACAGCATGTGCCATCTGAGTCTTCTGGTGACCTATCAGACATAGCAAGTCAGAAACTCTATGCAAAAAGAGACTTTATTCACTACTTCCAAATTGCCTAACTTTTTTTTTTGGAGAGGTTTTTGCCATAGGGCGTGTGCGCTCGCCAGACAGACAGAGACAGAGAGACAGAAAGCGAGAAATCACCCCCCAGGGGGGATGGCCACGCCACATTCCCTTCTCCTCCATTCTCCTCTCTGGATCTTGGGCACGCACGCATATGCACCCAGCGTGAGTTTTAAGCCACCAGGTCTGGGATGCGAACCGCGGTTGACTACTTGGAAGTCCAGCGACATAGCCATTACGCCAACTGCTGGTCCCCCAATTGCCTATCTTAACCCTCAACAAATCTTTCGCCTGTAGCGTGTACAAATGACATCACCAGCTACTTGAACAAGGAAACAGAACAAGGCAAACAGGAGCCTCAGAATCAGAATACTTTTCTTCTTTTCCCTGGTCTACTCTAACCTTCATCCAGAACATCGACTTTGTCTTGAAAACATAACACTCTAGGCCAGCAAGTGCCACAGTATTTAAGGTGCTGGATTTCCATGTGACTGACTGTGGTTTGAGTCCAAGATCTGGCAGTTTGAAACACACCAGGCACATATGTGTGCATGACTAAAGTCCTGAGAGGAGAATGGAGGAGACTGGATTGTAGTATGCTCATCCTCCAAGGGGGTGATTTCTCCCTCTCTCTATATATATATACACACATATATATACACACACATACACACATACATATACATACATACACTCATGCACATGTATACAACCCTCTGTATTGTAAACACTCAAAATCCTCTGCTCTGTTTTGACACACACATTCAATTATTAACCAACTATAGTTACTGCACGGTGCCATAGTACTCTAAAACTCACCCACTTACCTACCTGCACTCCTATACCTGCTCTGTACAGTTCTGGCCCTGTCCAACATTGTCGCTCTGTGGCAGGACATTATTTTGTGGAGCCTGACCACAGC